ATACACTAAATACATTTCCGGTATTAGAAGCAGTCAAGATTAATAAAACCCCAGGGCCTGATGGCATCTTGCCAACTGCAGTCACGGAAACAAGAGATCTTATTCAGAAGCCATTGACACAACTCTTCCATCAGTCACTCAATGTGGTACCCAGCAAATGGACAATTTCTAGTACCCAGTACCCATCCTTCATAAGTGTGAGAAAATTAATCAGTTAATTATATATCGATAACTCTGAACTGATGTAAGGTTATGGATATTATTATAACTAGATGATTGCTTGTATGGAGATGTGGCATTGGAAATAAATGGATTTGGAAAAGGTAGGTCTGGCTTAACCAACGTTTTAGAGTTGATCGAATGAGCAAGTAGTAGATGCACACAGAGCGTATTACATGGTATATTTAGGTTTTTTAGAAGGCTTTCAATGAAAATGCTGGTTAAGATTAAATTTCAAATCTTACAGATTGGAGGCATTCAGGAAAATGTGCATGGATTCCAAATTAGTTAATAGGAAAGGAGTACAGATAAGGGGTCAATGCTCAGATCGGAGTGATGTAATGGTGAAGGCCCACAGGAATTGGAGTCCGAATGCTCATTCTAATTTATATCTTGATAATGGTATAGAAAGTAATCTAGGCAAGTTTGCAGATGATAGGAAAATAGGAGAATTAGCAAATAACGTAGAAGCAGCAAATGAAATGCAAAAAGACTGAGCTAAAATTCAAGACTAAGCAAGCACCTGGTAGATTACATTTTATGTAAATAAGTGCAGAATATTAAATGCATGTGGTAAAAACATCATATATATATATATTTTAAACATTGCTCTGGTATCAGTCCAGAGAAGAGCAAGCATATGTATCCTTAGACTTAAAGATATTTTCTACATTGACTGACTGTCAAGCTGAAAGAAATCATCCTTTTTAGTCTTGGACAGAGATACCTAGAACAAGTAGGATATAATTCAAGTTTTCAAACACATTGTGAAAATCACATGATGAAAAGAGAAGGAAAGAAACACAAAGTTTCAGCTGTGGAGCCTTTCTTTGGGTGTGAGAAAGAGTGGGAAATCAGCAGCTGCTAAAGAAAGGGAGAACAAAAGGCAGGAGTGGAGAGGAGCCGGGAGCAGGGGAGGAGCAGAGTGGACACTCAGGGGGTGTGAAGTCGAGAGGGGTGAAGAGAGGTGTGAAGTCAAAACCTGCAAATGAATAGAGAGGATTAGAAGGAAACGAGTCTGTCGTTGAGATAAGGGGGAAGGTGCGATCCTAGTTTCAGGATAATTTTGGTTTGGAATAAACCTTTGTTTGTTCCTTCACCACCTACGCATGTTGATGCAGCCACCTATTGTGCAAATCTTGACTTTAATCAAAAGTGAAACACAAGAGGGAACAGTACAAAATGCAGGAGGGCTAAATGGTCTCCTCTTATTTGTCATCATTTTTACTTTCTTATCTTAGAAGGGACATATATATTACATAAAACATGCCCACTGTACGTATGAGATCGAAATATTTTGTCAAGTCTAAATTCTACAATCAATGACTCCTACCATCTCAGATTTAACAACTTAACCAGACAAAAGACAGCACAGTTATGCTAGCAGTCCTTTCAGATATGTCATATTAGTGCAGTTGTAGTGAAACAGATATGTTGTAATGGAACAAATTCTGCTGTTGGCATGGTTGTTGCCACATGGATGGATGGACGGTTGGATGCACATTATGATTAGTCTTGGCCATAAAAGCTTGTAGCTCTTCAAAGTTGCCGTTGGCCTCTTGGAAGCCTCTGTGATCAGTTTTCTTCTTGTTCGTCATTCAGTTTGGATGCACAGCGTGATCTAAGCAGTCTTGGTGGAGCCAAACACTTTCCACTTCTTATTAATTGAATTGACTATGCTTTAAGGGATATTTAAGGCCTCTGAAATCTTTAAATATGAATCTCCCGCTCTGTACCTTTACACAGCTTTATGCAGTAAGATTTTGATAGCTCCTTATTGCCCATTGACTCTTTACTTTAAGATGCACTAACCAGCAGAGGTGACCTACAGGAACAGCTGGTTTTATAATGAAAAATTCAGAATCACTTTAATTGAACACACGTGGAGGCTCATTATTTTGCAGGACAAACTGCAGTATGTCCAAAATTCAGCAGCCAGAATCCTGACCAGGTCTAGTGCAAGTGTTCACATTACTCCTATCCTGGAGTCCTTGGAATTTGGCTACGTGGAATTTGGCTTCTGGTCAAATTCCACGTAGACTTTAAAATCCTCATGCTCACCTATAAGGCTCTGCATGGCTTGGCACCTCAATACCTTTCTGAACTATTATCGCCTTACTCCCCACCTCGCAACCTCCGCTCTTCAAATTCTGCCCTCCTTACTGTCCCCAAAGCCTGTCTACATTGTATGGGTGACAGGGCCTTCTCCTGTTATGCCCCCAAGCTCTGGAACTCTTTGCCCAAGGATATCAGAGAGTCACCTTCTCTAAACTCCTTCAAATCTAGACTCAAAACCTTCTTCTTCAGAAAAGCCTTTACTTAACTGGTTCCATTCTTCACCCCACCTTCCACGGTCTCCTCTATCGAGAGAAGCCACCTTTAAAGGTGCTATATAAAATAAAGTTTATTATTATTATTTTGTTGTGTGATGTGGAAAGCATCTAGTTACACCAGAGCAAATTTACAATTGCTATTTCTACGGGGTGTGTAACACTTATCAAACCAATTTTCCTAGGCTTTCATTTGTAACTCCTTTTCACAATGTATGGGCATTTGATTTTCACATGAAAGTTTTGTGTTACATTGTGCAAATAAACATAAAATTAATTCTGATTTAATATGGCTTGCTTTCAAGTTGTTAGACCACAAAATGTGTTTCTTTTGAAAAACTGTATACTGTAGACTTTCTTTAGCTACTGTATTTCTCAAATGAGCTAATTTACATTATTAATCATGTAATAGTTGCATTTATAGTTTAAAACTATTGAGAGAAGTTGAAATCAGAAAGCGATTGATTTTTATCATGCGCTATCATTATTGGCTTAATAGCATTTATAAAAAGATTTGTAGTCCACACAGCCAGCAACCATATCACCCTGCAACTCACAACAGGCAGCCCACTGAAGCTAAGCAGGTGTGAGCCTGGTCAGTACCTGGATGGGAGACCTCCTGGGAAAAACTAAGGTTGCTGCTGGAAGAGGTGTTAGTGGGACCAGCAGGGGGTGCTCACTCTGTGGTCCATGTGGGTCCTAATGCCCCAGTATAGTGATGGGGACACTATACTGTAAAACAGGTGCTGTCCTTTGGATGTGATGTAAAATTGAGGTCCTGACTCTCTGTGGTCATTACAAATCCCAGGGTGTTTCTTGAAAAGAGTAGGGGTGTGACCCTGGTGTTCTGGCCAAATTTCCCATTGGTCCTTCCCAATCATAGCCTTTATTAATATTAATCCCCCTCTATGAATTGGCTTCATTGCTCTCCTCCCCACTGATAGCTGATGTGTGGTGAGTGTTCTGGCGCACTATGGCTGCCGTCGCATCATCCACTGGGGGTGGTGGAGGGGAGTCCCCATTACCTGTAAAGCGCTTTGAGTGGAGTGTCCAGAAAAAATATAGTGTAAGCAATTATTATTAAGTAAAATGTTATATTTTCCCCTATTTAATTGATTGGTTGTGAAAATATAACCAGACAGTTTGTTGCTCTATACTGTTACTGTTTACTCTTACTGTTTTAAGTATGTGATTTTTTTCATTTGTTTCAATTAAAGCCAAATACAGTACAGCGCTTATTAATCTTGGATTTTGATTCTCTTTTATTGCTCTTGAAATTCTATCAATTTCAGTAACAAAACAGATCATGACATTTTCATACAGACAAAAAAAAAAACAAAAATGTACAGCATACTCAAAAGTATAAGATGAAGCTTTAGGTAGCTTCAATTAAAAATATTAACATGGCTGTTTGTCAAATGGAGACAATTGTATAATGTATGTATTGTTTTTATTTAAAATTGTATAGTTTGTTGAATGCCTTGATAAGAAGTGTGCTATATAAAATGAGGATTGTGACACATAGTGTTATAAGATTACCATTATAATTGTACAACATGTTCATCTAACATGTTCCCAGTGTTATGAATATGCTCTATTATGCTATTGCAATGGTAAGTTTAACACTGTAATTATTAATCGTTTACATGAATGCTGTTAATCGGATAGGAGAAAAAAGTATTTATCTTAATAATTTTCTTATTGGATGTATTGCGTGTTATCGTTAACATATTACTCATTATATTTATAAAACACATAATACACACGTAATATTAATGGGACAAATAGTGAAGGCACTGAATTAAACTGGTATTGGAAACTATGGTTAACTACCAACTCAGATTAATCTCACAATGTTCATTTTACGCCTGTTTGAAATTTAAATCCCTTGTCGCGTAGTATGTAGTGTAATCTTTCGTCATATTTAAAGCATTGTGACGTCTGCATTGAGTAAACGGGACAGTTTAAAATGAGCTTCCTGTGTTCAATATTCAGTATCTGGTGGGCGGAGTCTTGCGGACCAGCTCTTAAAAACAAGGAATCAGTATGTGCTTTCCAGGACAACTACAAAGTTCAACAAACGAGATTTCACGTTAAACAAGCTCGGCAACTAGCTATTCATGTTTTGCAAACGACAGGGATAGGTAAGAAAACATTGTAAGCTGTAAATAGTTTGCATTTCTTCAGTGCTGCATTTCCTATTTTTTTAATTATAATTTTTTAAAGATTTGTTTTACTATAAATCAGAAACGCTTTAGAAAAGTCCAATTAACTTTATTGATGATAATGGCATTAATCAGTATTCAGTGAAATAACCGAATGAAAACTGTTGTAAAGAGACACTGTGCACACTTGGTTTGTACTTTCTTATTGTAGCTCTCGTACGTTGCAATACTGCTTTACTTGAGACGGCCTTAGGCTATGCTCTGGAAGTGCAGCTCCTCCCCGAATGATGATGGAAAGGCAGGGTGATGCTCGTACTTATTCATGATTCCCACAGTTATTGTTTTGCTATTCACCTGGGATGGTATTAGTATCAAAAAATGAAATAATATGTTTTAAGATTACGGCAAAACGCCAATGCTGCAGTACTGTGTTCTACAAATGAGTAAAATAGTTTTTTTCCAATTGTTCACGTTCGACTGGAAAAGCAGGAAACAAGTTGGAACTAATAAAGAGTAATGCGAAACTAAAAAAAATGAATTTTAAAACCGTTCATATTTTTATTATATGCCTTTAAACATATTTTTCGACTTATATATAACATTTTGCAACATGTGTCTTTGCATAACATCTGGCTTTGCTCAGAAATCTCATATTCTCTTTTGCGTCAAACTAATAATGTTTATTCCATATAATGAAATTAATTTCTAATAAACAGGATTAGTGGAGCACTTCAAAGGTTTTGTTATTTTGATTTCATTTTCAGAATTCAGTAGTGCATTTTGAGTAAATCATTTATTTTCTTCCCTTTTTTACACGAGCCAGAGGAAGAAACAAAAGTGCATGGATCCAAACTTTAGTCATTCTTGACACATTTTTGAGAATATAATAAACTGTTTTTTTATTTATGGACCTAAGAAGACTCAGGCCTCGTTTAGAAGTAGATATATCCTGGATATAATGTTTCAGGGATAGAAATGTTGTTCTTGAGCATCAACTTTCAGCTTATTGAGCTAGTTTGTTGTCAGAGAAGCCCAGAATGAATGATCGCATTAATAACCTTGAAAGAAACTGTACTGTTGGTGGTAGAACAGATCGAAATTGACTGGAGGTATAGTATTCCAATAAGTTTAGTATAATATGCTAATTAGGTCCTTTCAGTAGTGTCTGTATGGTGAAAGCTTGGCCAACCAGTGAATCGGAGGATTGCTGCTGGTGGGAGGGGTGAAAGTTTATTATGCTATGAGTGGGCCGTGTCAGGAGCACAGTATTCTGCTGTAACTGAATAACTGACTGTAAGTGCAGATGAGTGTAAACTTGAGGCCTCAGGTTTGATAGGTTATTTCATGTTGTGATGTTTTTAAGTGATGTTATGGGAGGAGTTATTTTGTAGGATAGTGAGTGGTGAAGGGGAGAATTAGCCATTAAGGATAATGGTGATAAAACTATAATTCTATAATGGATGCATGTAGTTTAACTGTTGTCCCGTGATTTGCCTGCTTACAGACTGTATACTTTCCCTTTTTGACAGTTAGTATCATGCATTGCCATTCCTGTGCATGATCTATTACATTTTCACAGTTTTTTCTACACCTATCTTGAATATAATTTTTGCCCTATTATATCACAGTAAACTTCTATAAAAAAGAATTCATGAAAGGCACTGGTTTTGTTCAAAAGAAAAACACTGAAGACAGTCTTTGAAGTAGATGACTGAAGGCACCATTTCAGGCAGTACTCTTGAGATATACTACATGTCACTAGTAAATATGTCATTCTGAGTGGAGATGTCACAAGCTGCCACAGGCACAGACTTGTCTTGGTCACAGACAAGCAATTTCTGTATGCCTCAAAAAGAGAAGGTGCTAAGACTGATCCCTGAGAAAAGCCATCATTCTGGTGTTTCTGTGAGTGGATGAAGTCAGCCGTGTCTAGACTGAAGCCCTTACCCTATGGATATCAAACACGTGGCTCAATGTGACAGTATTCTCTGTATTTTTCTACATGGGATATGTATCTTTAATAGTGTCATCAGCTGCTGTTTGATCATGGAACAAAAATAGTACTTTCATTATGGAACACTATCTCTAATTTACATTCATGAAGACAATTTTTAAAACATTGAAATCACTCTCTCTATATTCACTGTAAATGTAATATTGGTTTGTTTATGGATTGAATGTACATATATTGTTTTTAAATCTGTTCAACATTTTTGTGTTTATGTTCTATCCTTCTGTAATTGTTAACAAAACTGTTTTGTGAGGTATTACTGCTAATCCGCAAAATATTATTTTTGACTTACATTATAGACATCAAAATAGTGTTTGATCATACTATTTCGAAGTCATGAAGTAATAAGGGTTTAGTAGATGTTTGAGTAATAAGTGTTAAGAGGTGTTTGTAATTTTTAAAAATCACAATTTTCTGATTTCTTTTGCTTCCCCTTTTAAGAACGAGTCTCAGCTGGCACTGGGAAAAAATCAGTGAAAGAATGGATCTTGATGGCACTGTCACAGGAAACTATAAATATTGGACTTTTACAAAAGATCAGACTTTAGAAATATCTCCTGAGAAGAATGTAGAAACCGAGAAGTCAGGTAAGTGTCTCAGCTATCCAGCATACAAGGAAATGCTAACAAAAGATTGTTTCTTGAATGTTATACCTTTATACTTTATATTCTCATACCTTTGTCTCTTTGGCACGTATTAGGTTTTTAACATATTTGACACACATAGGGACAATTCAGATAAACAAATTAATGATGAATGCATTGATGGCAGACAGGAGTCATTGATACATATACTGGTAACAAAAATACACATTTTGACATTTTAATTTCATTTCAGTCCATTCTTTTCTAAATAATCTTATTCAGCACTATACCCTATTTTTCATGTTTTTTTCAGTATTTCTGTTCATTAAAAGGCCTTAGACAATGCCCACTCTCTCTGGGGTTAAATAAATTCTGCACAAAATTATATTTTTGAATGAAAGAAATGGTTGTGACAAGATAAGGTTTTTAATTAAATATGGTACAAAAATACATCTCATTCACTTAGTAATGCAACAACACATTTTCATATAAGCACATGCTGGAATATATTCATAACACAGCTTACAGTGGGAGTTGTTTCTAAAACTTACAAATGTGTAATTTGTTAATAAAATGAAAAGCTGCAGAACCAAGGATCCTCTCTTTTGTCAAAGTGTAGGAATGAAACAAATCAGTAATACAACGTGACATTCTGTCTTCACTATATGCATCCAAATTGAGACAGCTGATAAGTAAAATATTTGCAAGGTGTTTTTGTTCTCTGTGTTCACGTGGGTTTCCTCTGGGTGCTCCCACTATCCAAACAAACAGTGTTGCTAGGTTAATTGGCCTGGAAAAATCTGGGACAACTGGCCCTGGTGTGAGTGTGTGTCTGCTCTGTGATGGACTGTCTTCCTGCCTTGCTCTTGTTGCTTGCCAGGATAGGCTCTGGCTCCCCAGCAACACTGTGTGTGGGTAGAAAATGAATGAATGGAAATGTGCACTAATACTGTCACAGCCACCTGAACATTTGTACTGTGATTACCTTTGAATATATTGATAGGTTAAAAAAGTCGTGCAAGGGGTTGTGGATTCCAAAGCTGTTGTATCAGCCAGCTGGAACAAAACTTGGTAACAGAAAACCTCTGGGACAAAAGCATAATTCATATTGTAATAATTAGCAGCATCAGTAACTTTAAATACAGCTTTCTGTGTGATCAGTCTGAGATTGCAAAGGCATTGGGTAAAAACTAAACTGAAGTAAAACTTTTCTGTGAGAGTCCAGCCTCAGGAAGGCCAGGCTGTAAACTGCTGAAGCACTCGCCTAAGCTTCTTACTCCCTGCAGGAATAATCTTGGTCACACAAATTAATAACCACATTCCAGAGTAAACTCTCCAGAGCTCTTACTGTATGTGTTTACAGCTGGGGAGAAAACTTCATAGAAATTCGTACATGTAGGGTTGAGGAAGCATTTCTGCATTTTTTTTAAAAGATGGGCATTACCTATCACCTTTGTGATGGAAAGGAAAACAGTTGAAGGAGAACAATTATCAAAACAAGTTTTTTTTACTAACTATGGAGGAGCTGCCCGTGTACCCACTTGTTGTTCAGCAGTGCTTTTTCTGGGAACATGCGAACAGTGTATTTGTCTGTGCCTGTGGTAAAAGTTTTTCAGAGGACATAGCTAATGACATCATCTTTCCTTTTTTCTCCTGCTTATTTGTTTTTCTTTTTCAACTTTTTAGGGTGTGGCAATTTCATCTTCCTGGCCTCAGTGATTGCTGCTATTAGTGGATTCATGCTGGGCTACGAAATGGGAGTAGTATCTGGTGTGCTCCTCCAACTAAGGGACATATTATCCCTCACATGTCAGGAACAGGAAATGGTGGTTAGCTCTCTGTTATTTGGGGCCCTTTTACTCTCTCTTGGTGGAGGATTTTTGCTAGACCAGCATGGGAGAAAGTTTTCTATCATTGTAACCACCTTCCTTGTTGTAATTGGAACCCTCCTCATGATATGTGTTGTCTCTTACACAGCTCTCATTATAGGCCGCATCATGGTGGGAATGGCCGTAGCCCTGTCAGGGATTGCATCGTGCCTTTATATAGCGGAAATTGCACCGCAAAATAAAAGGGGGCTTTTGGTCTCACTGTACGAACTAATGGTTGTAATTGGGGTTCTCACGAGTTTTGTTTTCAGTTATGTCTTCGCCTCAGTTTCCGATGGCTGGAAATACATGTTTGGGATTGTGATTCCGCCCGCAGTCTTACAGGCTGGGACTATGTGTTTTCTGCCTGTGAGCCCCCGTTTCTTGGTCAAGAAAGGTCAAAGCGAAGCGGCTCGTGCCGTCCTAAAAAGGTTGAGGGCTTCTTCTGCGGTGGAGGAGGAACTACAGAGCATTCAGACCATCCTGGAAGAGGAAAGCCGGTACACTTTTTCGGACTTGTTCAGGTCAAAGGACAACATAAGGACCAGGCTGCTGATAGGTGTGGCGCTGGTCTTCTTTCAGCAAGTGACCGGGCAACCCAACGTTCTGTTTTACGCTGCCACTATTTTTAAATCTGTCGGCTTTCACAGCAACGAAGCAGCTACTCTTGCGTCGGCGGGCATGGGAGCTGTGAAAGTGGCCTGCACGATCCCAGCGGTCATGTTCGTAGACCGTGTAGGCAGTAAAACCTTCCTGAGCATCGGTGCCGTTCTAATGACTATTTCGCTCACAACTCTGGGAGTCGTAACTCTGAAAAGCCACACAAATGTCACCAGTGTCTGCGACAGCCACTCCAGTCTAAACCAGACTCATTGGGTGCACAATTCAACCGCTGGTTTTGCAGTTCATGGAGTAAGTTTCTTAAACAAGGCTTTAAACTCTTCATCTGATCTCTCAAATACTGTGAATTTAACCACCTCAAGCAAAAGACTGTTGATGGATGATGAGTGGAATATTACAAATCCTGTTAAAGGTCCAAATCCAGGTTTATTTAGTACCAAAGTATCAAGTACTTTAAAGTGGCTCTCCCTGGTCAGCCTGCTGGTTTACATTGCTGCATTTTCCATAAGTCTTGGTCCAAGTAAGTTCATTTTCAAAAAAAAGTCTATTTTGTGTTCAATTTCAGACTCGCATAATGTGTAAATGGATACTAGTAAGAGTTTTGCATACTTGACTGCTGACACAGCTGTCCTAAGTCCTGTGAGGAATTTTTTCCATGAATGTTGTTGACTCTGCAATTTGAGTGAGTGTAGCGAAAATTTAGTGTGACCTATTTTTCCAAATCTGACTTCTGGGTTGCTGAGCTTAAAATATATCTAAATCACTTGACATTAATGGAATTCCGTTTCATATGGCATGGGGTACATGTAGATTGCAACGCTGTTTCTTTCATGTTCTGACTTGTATAATCTCAGTTCTGTTCTTTGTTTTATTTTCCAGTGGTGTGGGTGGTTCTTAGTGAAATATTTCCAATGGGGATCAGAGGCAAGGCAATGTCTGCAGCCTCAGTAATAAACTGGGGTATTAACCTAATCATTTCAATGACATTTCTGACTATAACAGGTAAGAAACACAAACCTTTTTTTTTCCCAACTGCAAAACGTCTCATCTTTTATTATTCCTGGTAAGGGTAACCTGGGTAAGCACAGTAAAACACCTTGGACAAAACACCAGTCCATTGCAGGGCACACATGCAAAAGCACAGGGAGGATTTAGGGACATCATAGAGCCTTGCCAGTATGTCTTTGGCTGACTGAAACCGGAGTACATTTTGGAAACGGAGAACAGACTACACATAGAAGGCGCCTAGTCCAGAACTGAGCCCAGGAGCTGTCTGGCTGAAGTGTTCACCATCAGATGACAAAGGAAATATAATAAAGAAAAAGAAATGCAATAGCCTTTGCTGTAGTCTTTACTCCTTGAGAGTAATGGATTGTATACAGATTAAATGATTTTCATTATTAGATTTTGAAGGCTTTCCAGTGATCATTAAGAACTGAGACAAGATCTAGTACTTTAGTTGATCCTGAGTTTAAACTGTGTGGCGATAGGGTGGACATTTCAATGAAGTTTCCTAGGATGCCAAGCAAAACAGTATTGGATGTAAAAAACAACTTGTTTTTCTTCCACGTTTATTTATTCTTTGAAGTGATGGTTTATGAAGAAATTGCAGGGAGATGTTTTGACAACCTGACAACAGGAAAAACAACCTGCAGTGCTGCACATTTTATACCGTTAATGATTTTGATCAATAAAGCGATAGTTCCTATAGACAGTATCTGAATTGTTGGAGCATTATTTCTGGTACTTTCAGCACGGTTCTTCAACATTTAACACACAGTAACCGGAACTGTAAAATTAGAGAGAATGAAACAATTTATCTTGCACCACCTCATATTTTTTAATCAATTTAACAGACGTTGAACTTTAGTTTAACTATTCCACAGTGTATTTCATAGTTTGAATGTTCGCATTACTGAAGAGAAGACCACGGTACTTTAATCTTGTAACATTTCATTACATTTAGTGGAAAGTTAACTGTATCGTCAGATTGTTTACCTCTTGATTTCACCAACTGACACTACATGGTTCTGCCAAGTCTTAGACTCGTATTTGTCTGCTCCTTGTACTGTGTTCTTTCTTTTTTATGTAGAAACCCTTCTGTTCATTTAAGCTGACAATTTATCCTGAGTTCATATCAGCCTTGAGCAAGTACAGTACGTACTAACATAATATGAATGTTAGCAACAATGGATACAAAGTGACATGAATCCTAAACCCATGTCCAGGTTTCACTTAGAGATATATTTGGTTTTTGTTTCTTTTTGTGTAAGTTTTTTTAATAAGGAGTTTTGTCATTTATATTACCAGCTTTGAGAACTGTGGCTCTTTCGATAGATAAGACTTTATTGATCCCGTAGGGAAATTGATGTGTTACAGCAGTAATTACCAAGTTTTAAAGAAAGTCTAACTCTCAAAATGTTTTTCTTCACTTCACACACATTTTATATGAATGTTGAATCCGTGTTTTCTTATTTCAGAAAAAACTGGGCTTCCAAATGTAATATTCATGTATGCAGTGATGAGTTTTGCACTTCTGGTTTTTGTCATTCTGTACATCCCAGAGACTAAGGGATTGTCACTAGAAGAGATATCAATGGAATTGGCCAGAAAGTAAGTATTTCATTAAAATTCTTATTCGCTGCTTTTCCTAAGTGTGAAAAGAAAATGTTTTTTACAAAACAGTCATGATGGAATTGCTTGACAACTACAAGTAAATTATATTTGTCTACTCCAGCCTTATACAGTTAATATAAAGCATTTTAATAAGTCTGAACTGCATGTAGAAGCTGGTCTATCCCGACAGTTGTACTGTTGTTTCTTTCCGACACCTTTTTAGTATTTTGTAAAACAGTTGCTTGGAAATACGGTTTGTTTACAAAAAATAATCTTTTTTCACTAAGTGATTGTTTCACATGAGAATGCCTTGAAATGTGCTAATTATCTTGGAACATAGAGCAGTTGAGATAAAGGAGAGTGCATTGTGAATGTATTCAGCCCCTCGCACAATTTTCACGTTTTGTTGTTTTAAAGCTTGCAGTCAGGACACTGCACACATTCAAGGTAAAAAAAAGAATTAACTAGCTATCAGCTGGTGAATTTTTAAAGCAAAAGTTTAACCATGAAGACCAAGGAGGTTTCGAAATTTAAAATATTGTATAAATAAAGGACCAAGTAATAGGTTTATTCCAAGCTGAAAAGAGAAGAAAGAAAGAAGGATCCACAGCTGAAACCTTTTCTTTTTTCCTCTTTTCACCATGGAATAAACCTATTACTTGGTCCTTTGCTTGCCTATGCATGCTGACGCAGCTACCCACCTGAACTTCTTGTATAAATAAATACAGCAAACTTGTAAAAAAGGACTTTTTAGACAAAAGATCTAAAAATGAAAAAAATAAGGAATACCCCTTTGAGCACTGTGAAGCCAATCATATGAAGCGGAATGTGTATCATACCACCCAGACAGATCCTAGTGGGGCTTAGCAGCTGAGCAAGGAAGAAAAGGGTTTGGGGCTGCAACTGAGAGGCTAATGGAGTTCAGTTAGATGGGAGAAAATGTGCTGCATGTACTGTAATTGTCACTCCACTGGCCTTTATGGCTTAGTGGAAAACCCATCTCAAATCCCTTATGCATTTTGTGGCTGAGTATTTAAGTGGTACTGCAAACATGTAGAAAAAGATTTTGTGATGAGACGACAAAATTTCAACTTTTTGTCCTAAATGAAACATCTGAAGAAAACCCAACCAAGCACCACTCGGTCAATACCATCCCTACAAGCAACCGTCAAGCATGGTGGTGGCAGCATTACACTACAGTACTACTTGAAGCTTGTCAAGGCTGACGGGAACATAGATGGAGCACGATACAGGCATAAATCTTAGACAAAAACCTTTGGACTATAAGGTGCTTCCAACAAATATTGAGTTCATGGGTGTGAATACTAATAATATTTTTTTTTCTTTAGTTTTTACCAACATTCACGATAACTCATCCTTGCACATTTAGTTTGAACATTCAGTTTTTTAAAATAAACTTAAGTTTAAAAAATGTCAATGCATAACTTTGTAATTTCACAGAATGGGACAACATGGCAAGGGTTGAATACTTTTGCAAGTTATTGTAAATGTAGTCTATTTAAGGGAAGTATTAAATCACATTTCTGTTTATTTTCCAGGAACCATTCTGAAGACTGTATATGCTACAGGATTATGCCTAAGACGGGCATTTTGAAAATCAAATGTAATAAATGATGCATAACGCATAAAACTAACCATTTTACCTCAGAAGTGATTCATGTCTGAAAATGTAATTATGAAATAAAAGCCTTAGAACTAATGTCTATGTCCTGTATGACAGTTAAACTCTGTAGCTTATCTACAATTTAAACAAGCTAAGAAGAGAGACAGGGACCTTTTAAAATCAAAAGCAATACACTTACAAAGCATAAATAGCAGTCAAAATTCAGGTATTAGATCATATATTTTATTGTACAAAATACAAAATTCATAAACATACTGAAAAACACGTCCTTCACAATACAACAAGTGTTCTTGTCAAGAAGCTGTTACCATATTAGTAACAGTTGTCCCCATAATGGATAATCAGTTATTAATTTAGTGTTTGTTTTGATAAATACACGGTGCAGAATAGTCATGTTGATGTTTCATGAACATTGTGTATCTCTATTGTTTCTGGAATAAAAACATCATTCAAATAAAAGGGAGAATATCTAGAACTGTTTTCAAAAGGATCTACGGAAAAAAAACTAGTTGCTTCAAACAATTGTTCACCTGTCACATATTGCTTTTTATCATTAAGAATTTTTAAAAATTTGATTAAAAAAAGTTTTGTTCTTTGGTGATCATGCAGAGAAAAGATTAAAGTAAAATCTACATGCTCACTCAGAATGTTGCTGTTTTTACATGAAGTGCATTACATTAAAGTATGTTACATTGCTTCAAACAATCTGATATCCGTGTTTCCTGTTGACACTGAACAATAGCGCATTGTTAATGAAATACATAACTGTGTACCACAGAAAGCAGTACCTCGCCAGAAAACAAAATTAACAAAAGTATCAGCTTGTCTGAAACATTATACAGAATGTCATAATGAATAAGGTGCTTTAAAAACAAAGATATCCCCATTTTTATCTGATTATTTTCCTGCATTCAGACAACAAAGGATAGGCTTGTTCAACAGCTGCCGCAACAAACTGTACATTTGGGGCTGGCAAAACACAAAAAAGGGAAAAACAGGGTTAAAGGGATAACTATACTATCAAATTTATTTATAAAAAACAATTCATGAGAACACGTCATTTTCTAACTTGGGAGTATTAGCATTTCACAGAAAATCACACTATCCTACAGTAACGCATAACAACTCATGGTAAAAGTTCAACAGGCTAGCAGATTTTGTATGAGGAATAAGTGGCTCCTCTCTCACCTTTATTAGGCATTTCTTGTGCTCTTACAAAATAAGGTTTCTTTAAATTTTGTTTGGCAGACCCCTGCCCATTTGTAATTAATTATTCTCTCAATGACTCAATAAACCATCGAAGCAAGTGTTTCCAAGAGATGTATATCCTCTAGTGTCAGAAGTTCAGTCCAACTAAATCTGGTTTGTCAGTTTTGGGAAGCTTTGTCTATGAGAAACATGGTGTCAGGTTGCAAAAGAGTTTTTCTAAAATAGAACTCTTGCAAGTGTTTGGGGAAAAAAAAACACATGCAAGAGAAATTCTTGGAATATTTTTGAACAGCACATTTAATACCAGCTGGATTAGTTTTTAATAAGCCTATATTAGAACTGGAATTTGTTTACGCACTTCTTTAAACTCACGCTGCACTGGACCATTATTATTTTCATATTATATGGTTCCTTAAATACACAGTGCCTTGCAGAAGTAACCCCAAGACAGTTTCCACAACTTGTTGCTGCGTCAGCTTGCAACTGGGGCACTTAAAAAAAAGAGCTTCATATTTAGAAGGAACAATTAAAAGTTCTAAATATTATTATTATTATTATTATTATTATTATTATTATTATTATTATTATAGAAGTAATTCCACATGGAAGAGCAGTGGGAAAAAGTGAAGAAGTGGAATCTCTTTCAGGTGTGAGGGAGACTAAGAAAGGGTTCAGGGATATAAATCCCAAATCTCGTGAAGGAAAGGACAATGGGCGGAATGTGAGAATGGGCACAGCAGGTGAGAATTAGTGCCCAAACAAAGGGAGATCTGGGGGAGGAGTGTGAAAAGCTAAAATCTGTTCATCACAGCAGAGGTCCTGGAGAGGAATTCACACAGAGATGGTGGAATGTGTCATCCAAGTTTAAGGATAATCTTAGCTTCTAATGTCTTTCTGGAAACCCTATAAGAGGACAGAAAGGTGAGTGTAAGCATGTCTGGGAGAAATAATATGGGTAACTGTCATGATCCTCATTGAAACAAGTAAAGGCTTATTCCATGCTGGAATAATCCTCATTGCTTTGATAGGTTCCATGAAACAACTGGCCAGCTGCCTTCGTTTTGTTCATGGGAATGTCAGGGCACTTTCTGTAAGATATACAATAATTGAGATTGCTCTCCAGATATTCTTGAAATGGCCATATACATTTGCAAGGGATACAGAGACTTCTATTACAGCAGGTGCTTGGCATGGAAATGGCCTAAGGGTGGTTAAGGGAACTGTGGACAAGAAGGTTGCATATATTAGGTGGCCAGTACAATGAGACTGATGTGTCTGGAAAAAAGGCCCTAGTTGAGCGGTCATCCTGTAAAACAATTTTTTTAAATAATCTTAGAAGACAGAAAGTGTGTTGAGTTGGAAGGGAAGCACCGATGACCCACAGGCCAAAGTGGTCTGACAAGAATAAAGCAGTCCAGTCTAGACCCGACTATGAGAAAATATGGTAAGGCTTGATTGTAGTCTACCAATGATCCCCAATGAGCTTATCAGAACCGGACCAGGTTTCTGAGGATGACTGAGTAAATTTACAGCACCCCACTATTTGAAGCTGGTACTTCTCCAAAACCATTACATCCACCAAATACTTGCTTTGTAGGACAGTTATTTACGCAATTAAGTAAATTTTACTTAATAAAACTTCTTTGCTGATTTTCCAGACATTTCAACTCCTTCACATTTAACAGTGTTGAGTATGATTATTACAATATTGAGTAAAAAACGAATTAATAATATTATAATTAATCCAAATGTGAAATGGGAAGAGATTCATTACTTTTGCAAGGCACTGTATATATGTTTTTGGGAGCCACGTTACTGTCATTTCATACCAACAAATGAGTATATATCACTCTATACAAAATATCTTTACCTGTGACAGTGATGCTTCCTGTTGAGAAAATCTGTAGGGTAGCTTTGATATTCTTAATCCTGTATGATGCTGCAGGGTGCAATTCTGGCTCATAACTGGAAGATAACACACAGCTGCTTTAACAGTTATAAATTATACTGAACACAAAATGCTTAAACGTGCAAGAGTCTTACCTAGCAAAAGGTCTGTTTTTCTTTGTGAACTCTGGAAGTCGGATTTCAAAGGGCATTGAGCAGACAGCCAACACATTAACAATCTTAAAATCTGTGAATTTCACCTAAAGGAAGAAAACATTTTCAAATTCAATGTTTCAATGTTTTTTTTTGTTTTAAAATGGTTTCTCTTTTCATTAGAACAAAACCGATCTTTTCATATAATACTTTCAGGAGCTGTCTAAGACTTGGGAATGGAAAAAATGCAATAAATCTCTTATTGATGTAACTCTTAATATTTCAAGGTAGAACGGTTTGTTTAAAAGTAACTCATGCAAGTACTATACACAATTTATATGCCTAAGGTGTTAAAGATTTACAGTTGTAGCTCAACAGACAGTATAAACAAAAATAACTGAAAATTAAACTGTTTTCAAATTAATGCTGTAGGCTTCCCTATTTTCTTGTGTGGGAAAAGATTAAAATTAGAAGAGTTGTTGAAATCTCAGCTCACAAGCTCTTTTCTCTCTGCTCCCCTAAAACACCATAATTTCATCTAAAGGACAATTTTAGTACTAGTTAAACACAAGTACTGTTGTCTCTAAAGGCTTCCAAGCAGTTCCTGACCCACTTACTTCAACAGCTTGAGTAAACAAAAGGAAAACTGGAATGATGTTTCCAAAGTCAGTCAAACAGGTTTTGAAAAGCAAGCTACTAAGGAAGTGCTAACTCATTGTGGACATAAAGAGTGTTGTTGCAACATGAGATTTAAGCCTAAAGGAAGTTTTGGTGTGATGAAACCTGTCATGTTTCAAGTCAGTCGATGTAGCAGTTCCAAAGACATTGGTAGTTTAAAATTTGAGTTAACTGTAATTCCACTAAAAGGGTCCTTTCCCAATGTAGAACTGTTAAGCAAATTGTAATAAATTAATAGTTTTTTTTTCTCCAAAGCAATTTGTGGTAAAGGTTGAGTATCAAAAAAGTATAAATTAAGTTAGGAAGCATTCACAGAAACCTCATTGCTGTATAGTAATTTGCACTGTCACTAGAATAATGTCACACCTAAAGCTTAAAAGCAACAACTGCATTATGGGGTGTTTCACCAGACACGTGATGAACTAGTGTATTTTAGATATTGCTGCAACCCAAAATTGAAAGGTGCCATTCTGATATAGATCTGGGTGAAATCTAAGTTTAAAATAAATGAGCACAACAGTACTATTCAAAATGATAGTAGTTTGGGTTTTGCAAAAAATGGCAATCAGACAGCCATTGAGGTTTATGGGAAAAAAAAAACAACATTTGTCAATATATTAACTGCATTGTCCCTAAATCCAACACCAACCGAGTTGGCAGTTAACTAGCCAAAAAGTCCTTAAGCAAAAACAGTATGCTCACCAAGCAATCAATAATCCAGTGTCGGCTGGAAATTATCCTAGCAGTTTGTGAGATGCAAATCAGAAGCATCTTTAACTGTTCATGAAATCTGCAAGTGTCAATTCAATCAATGCACTGGATCCCAAAACAGAGCCAGAGCCAAGATTGTGAGTACAAATGAAGGTCAGACAAATATCTAGGTTTAATTAGCAATATCATTGCATCAGATATTAAGTGGATGCCAAATGTAAGGACTATACTTTGTTTAGAGTTAAAAGGAGAAACTGTTTTGATCCGCAGAAGCTGGTCTTATAGGTCACACAAAGAAAATAAAACAGCTGTCAGTCAGCAATCTTGGTTTATGTAGGAATCCTATTTTTACCTGTATTCATTCTGGTGGCACTACAATTACAACAGCAATTTCTCAGGTGCAAGGCATGTGTAGTATACTAATTTTCAGTTAAATGTGCAATGGCAAACAAGATTTTGAAAGGGCTTTCCAATATATGGGTCAGGACACTTTCTTGACTCAGGACTCCAAGTCTGGAGGGCTCCCTAGTCTTTGCACGGGAGCAGTTTAAAAACTGAGAAGGTCAAAATCCTTTCGATCACTACAAGCTTTCACTACTTGGAAGCCTAAAAAGTTTAATACCTTAAAACCAAGTTTTTGTAGACATCGTGCTAATCTCCGGGCACCAGATTTAGCTTCTTCTTCACTAAAATGGAAACAACACAAAGGAATGTATACATCATCAAATGCACAAAATATCTGCACTGTCTAAATGACAGCAACTGATTAGCAGAGTAGTCCTGTACAGCATAGAGGAAAGGTATATGAACATTTAATTGTTTCATTTTTTATTTGTAATGATTTTTACAACTGGGCTTTACAAATGGGTTTAAACCCATTAAATCAGCGATGAGTTGATTTAGATTAAGATCTTGGTCAAGATGAAATCTGGGCCCTCAGTGACCACTTGCCCCTTCCATATGTGAGCAAATAGTCACACAACTCCACATTAAGGGTTTAATGCTGTAATAAAAGCAGTCATAAAGCAACAATCATGAAGTTAATATATCATTTTCATACTCTCTGCTGAAGCCACATCAAGTATTTGACTAAAAAAAAGTGAAGAGTCACAACAAGAAAGCAGATGCTGGGTAAACTCAGGACTTGTGTGACTAATTGTTCACATATGGGAGGAGCAGGGGTCACTGAGGGCCCAGTTTTCATCATGACCCCGATCTTAATCGAAATCAACTCATCACTGGTTTAATGGGGCTAATTTCAACATCTTATCCCAGCTGTTCAGGTGCAAGTGCTTTGAAAACACCTAGAAAACCTGCCCTGCAGGACTGGGACTGCCCAGACCCGTTTCAAAAGATAATCAATTACATCTGCATCTGCTTGACAGTGAATACAAACTACAAATGTCAAGCAGCTCCTCTAGGAGGTTGTGAGGTTTCCTCACAAACAAGAGAAATTACATGAAAAAGACACGCTTTTGTGATTCTGTACCTGGAGCAGACATTAGGTTTAAGTGTGAACATCATTATGTTAAACTGCTGAAAGACTACTGTTAAAAGGAAACAAGAAAAATTAAAAAAAAACTGCTCACAAAGCATTTTCAAAAACTAGCATGTTTTTGGAGTATTATATGATCTTAATGGATCAATGTTACCTCGTAGCTCCTGTGCAAATAATCTTTCCTGAAGACCATATTGAAGCAGTGATTCTGGGCTTTCTTAGTTTCATCAGAACCTTCTGTGAAAGACAATACAAAGAAATACTCAAGTTGAAACAAATAGCACACTTCAAATGCATTTCCAACAGACCTTTGTAACCCACTATTACCAGTGACGAGAAACTTCAGCACCAGCAACACAACTGAGGCCTGTTTAATGTTTTGTTTTCCCCAATTTGAAATCCAACATAAAATTACAAAGAAACTTTTACAATGTACAGGTTTGCAAATGTTTATTAGCTGGCATTCAATTCACTGATTTGAGAACTTATCAGTATGATGCATTTATTTCATTAAGATTTGTTTACCTTTAGAATTGATTGGAAATACTACAAACCATGAATGATAAAAATCTGCTTTAAAGTAGACAGCTTTAATTTAACTGTGGAATAAAATACTATATAATGCTGAAAACACACTAGAAATCCGTGTTTAGTTTTCTACAGCTTTACAGAAACACTCATGGAACTGTTGCTACAAATTCTTAACAGGTAACTCTGGACATCTGGTGTGAAAACAATTCCAATTCCTTTGCAAACTGAAAGAAAACATGCCAAGGAAGCTCACTGTACCCCATCCTCCATTCAAGCTCCCCCTCATTAGCTCTGAAGCCCTTAAGTGAAATTTGAGGCTTTATGTTAAGCTGCCTTCATAAAGGAGGTTCAGGAGAACTGGACAAGGTTTTGACAGTCTTTCATCATCTCAAATTGCTTTCTGTGAAATGCATTCTAAAAACAGAATGATCAACCTCTGTATGACAGGACTGTTCCTACATTTTATTGTTTTAGCAAATTAATTTTAAAAGCAAATGGCACTGGCTTAATGTGATGTGAAAGCTCTCAATCATTTACCTTCTGTGACTACATGAGCGTAGAATTTGGAACAACTCAGCCATTGAGAACTGTCCTTGAAATGTCATCATAAATCAAAGATATTTTTAAAGAAGCTCATTTTAACTTTTTCACGGACGGTCACACTGTTGCCAAGGTATATTACCTTTACATATGTTTTAGAAATTGGTAGGGTGTTCAATGATCCAAAAATAAAAAGTGAATCTGATTGCCAATTGGAGTTTATGAATAATGTAAAAAAGTAAAAAAGGAAAGACTAATCTATATGATCTTAACACTGTCTTACATGGTCTTGGAACAGAGTTGAATCAAAATACTGCAGTCCAAGGATCACTACACTAAGGGATATATTGTTGGAATATACCAGGTCTCCAAAAACAGAACAAAATTTACTTAAGTTATACTTACAATAAACTTCTGATACATTTCTGCACTTTGCAAGGCATCATTTATATACTGAAGCATGAGTTTCCAACCCAATAATGAAGTTGATGCCAACTGGTTTACATTTATTAGTGTCACTAATTTCAACAGCTGTAGAGTGTATTTTACAGTCACAGATTCAATATTTTAGTAGCCATCACAGATGCACAACTGTAAGGAGAGAAGGTTTCCTAACGGCACATGTTAAACACATGTTCAAGCTGATGTAGCTGGTTTTTGTTAGCTGTTGACTAGGTCCACAAAGGGTGACCCAACATAGTGTTAGCTTGTTTTTCTTTAACAGCAATGTTTGAGTGAGCCCTGGAGTGTGTATGAAGGTAATGCTATGATGGGAGGAAAAAAATGAAAAAAATCTAAATCACATCAATTCACCAGGACTGCTGTTCCTGCTGTGGCTATCTATCATCATTCCAAACCATGATAATAAGCTATTCTTGATGTCTGTAAAACATAGCAACATAATGGAAGGACTCTCGGACCGGTCAGTCTCCTCATACAATATGGACATCATTATAACATTTCCCATGCAATCTCCATACTCTTTTGTTCAGCACTTGCCCCTGTCCACAATTAACCTGCTTCATCAGAGATAATGTTAGAAAAGTGTCTGTTAAGAGTGTTGGTCTCTGCAGACTTGCTTGTTCAAGATCTGGGTTAGGTATGCACCACCACAGAATGGTGGAGCCAATTATTAATGAAGTCACTGCTGTAAAAATTGAAAAGACTGTTATACAATGTCTTCCAGTGACCTGTCAAGCTGTAAGAGAGGGTGGCAGACAATGATCAAATTAATGAGATGGAACAATGATTTTACGTTGCTGCTGCAACATCACAAGTGGACAACCACCACTAGTGAGACATTATGGAAAATCATCTGCTGATGCCAGCGAAAGGTGATAAATTGTGGAATAACAAACTCCAAAAACCTTAGATACTATGTGTGCATTGGGTTAATGCCAACTTCTATTCTCTCCAAAACAATTGGTAGCTAGTGGACATGATAAAAGACATAATATACACCCCTTAAAACCACGATCAAGCTTTGTGTCGTTCACAAGTTCTTCAATAGCATGGTCTCAATAAGAAGTAACATGCAATGCTCTCAACTACCAGCCCAAATGTCATAAGGTCAGACAGCATGTTACTCACACTGCATGTCAAACTAGTGATGAGTTAAGACAGGTAACATGAATCAACAGATGGTGTAGGTTTCTAATTATGCTTTCCACTATTGAAAGACAAATAGGGCCTGGGCTCATATTTCATTCTGACACTACTTTGAAATTGAATATTTAGCACAATTTGCATGAGACTAAAAGCCAATAAATTAACAGAGAGATGTGGATTAATTAAGAAATTGTTTCTAAATACGTTCCAAATGAATCATGCATTTCTCTCTGCCAACTTAATATTCTCCAAGATCCTCTGTATTTACCGGTAATTTGGACCTCCTCTAACATCACAGACTCTGGCATCCTGTTCATGTAATCCTCCAACAATTCTCCCAGGACTAACATTTTAATCAGAACCAAATAGTGCGTCTTGGTTTCTGATCAAAATAACTGAGTTGAGAGAGAACGCACACTGATTTAAAATGGATGCTTTCAACGCATTTCACAATATGCATGCAAATGCAAACCTAGCCAAGGAAAAAAAAAATCAGCCCTCCACAATTAGGGTAGGGATAACCTCCAAAAAATTCATTTAAATTAAATGATCAATCTATGACCTTTAATATTTTTTTAATCTGTAAGTACACAATGCATCAGCAGATTAACTCATTTTGGAATACTGGGATACTTAATAGTATAAACCTTCATTTTTTAAATCTGGGAAAGCTGAAGTGTCTAAGTGATAAAAAATACATACACTTCTACATTAGAGTAAAACTAGAAAATGTCATGTCATTTAATACAAAAAAAAAACAAGGAACATTGAGGAGCTGAAATAGAGGGAGCTCTGACAAACACTGATAAAGTACTAAATGTGTGCCAATGTGCATTCAACAACTGTTGCCAATCCTGTGACAATGTCAGATGATTACAGGTTGTAGAAGAATCAACACTACACAAAGAGCAGACATTTCATAGTTTGATCTTAAGTAAATGACTCCTAAATAAAAAGTCACTTCTTAGCCCATTTCTTATTTGACACATTTGAACCTTCCCAAACTCAATCTGTGCACCTCTGACTCCCAGTCACATTCTGGATCATTTCATATAGACAAGCTACAGCATAACGTACAGTAAAACAGTAATGGCTGGACAGTAATGGAAGTAATGTCCTCGCACTCTCACAAATCCAGATTCTGTTTAGGCTGAAAAGGCAAGCAAGGATTTCAAGTGGGTAGCTGTGTCAGCATGCGCAGGCTGCAAAGAAACAAGAAATAGGTTTATTCCATGCTAAAAAGAGAAAAAAGAAAACAACGTTTTGGACATGGAGCCTTCTTTGGGTAAGAGGCTCACACCTGAAGAAGGCTCCATGGCCAAAATGTTGAGTTTTCTTTTTTCTCATTGGCATGGAATAAAGCAAGGATTTCTATACACCTTAGCAAACGTTTTATCTAGCATCATGATGCTGAAATAAAGAAAGGAGGGTCCATCATAACAGAAGGACTATGGCATGGATGGAGGGATCTCAAGTCTTCAGGCACAGTTAGTGCAGCAGTTATGGATGGAATTAAGTGCCTCAACAGTAAGCAAGCCCCAGTGTCAGTAACTGACAATAACCTGCCCACATCACCACTGTTTATCTTCTTGTGAGCCAAAGAAAACATGGAACTGACAGTGAGATCACCTGACAGGAATCCTACTGGGCATACTCAAAGCACGCTATAGGGAGCTACACAGGTCTGTGTAATGAAGTCCAGGGCTCTCCAGGAGCTAGTGAATATCCTCATTTAAGGATGGGTCAAGCTCCACTAGCCTGCAGGGCATCTGATTAGAGAGACAAACAGATGTTTGTCAGTGTGCCTTTGGTAAAAAGTCATCATTTTTCACAAGAATCTGTTTGGAAGGTGTGCAGCTTCTGTTACTCACAGACTTTTGTATTCTACTAAATCATTAATAGAAAGAATATGAAATGCAATCCATCTGTGAATTCTGGTTTCAGGCAAAAACTGTAGAAAAAATCCATATCTAAAACAGATGAGTTTCTTGTACCCACAAGTACAAGTATATTTAAGCCAAAAATGTAGAGATTCAAAGACTTAAGATGGTGATTAAAGTGTGTAGAATAACATTTACATAATTTGACTGCTCTCACAGAAAATAAAAAGTACAAAAGAGAAAAAAGAAAAAAAAAACATCACAAGGATAAGAAACATGACCGTAACTGTGTAATTCCTTTTCCAATTGCAGTTTTATATATTCGTAACTCCAATATCACAAAGAAAGAGCTACATTTAAAAACAAAAGAAACCGCTACATCAGAAACAAAAAGAAAACCTGCTGCATTTATTTTTAGGGACTACAAATGGAAAATGGAAATGTAAAGACTTTTCAGGGTCCTTCAAAAACTGTGCTAGAACTTAGGTTAGAGTGATCTCTAGTGGTGCACTTCAGTACTGCAGGTCTCTTCTTTTTGCAGATACTTAAGGGAGGAAATATCGTTTGTACACAATCTTAATTGTTTCTTTTATGATGTATTATCCCTTATTAAAATGTATACTTCAAAATCTTTGAAGTAATGAAGTGACTCCTACAAACACAAACATTAAACAGTATTTTAAAATGCATTCATGAAATATAATACTAAAATACCTTTGTCATCTTTGGCTTTTGTTACAGGTACGATTAGTATCACTAACATTACACTGTACGCATGCAGTTGCTAACTCTGTTCAGAGCCATGGCTCTTTTCAATAATTACCATCAAATTATGCATCTAAGTTAAACATACAGAAAATAAATCTTTGAAATGCACATAGAAAAAAAATAGCTAAAGAGCAGTTGAAAAGACTTGAGAGATTATATTCAGGTACAGACATATAACACATGCTGTGCTTACCACCTGACTGATGACTCCCATAATTCAGAAAGCATTACTGACAGTTTCCTTCCACTTGTTCCTTACAGGGCCAGCCCTGCTCTCCCGAGTCCCACAAAAATGAAAGCTGTATACCAACGGTTTCACACTCCATTCCTGGAGGGCCGTATTGTCTCTTGGTTTTTGCTCCACCTGAGCCCCAAATGACTTTAATTAGGCTGTTTAACTAGGATAACTAATTTTCTTTAGGTGCAACATGTCTAATAATTACAATAATCCCTGGATTTGTACAGGGCCTTTCATTCTCAAGGACTGCACTTTCCATACGAGAAGGGACCTACTTCATTCACCACTAAGAGCACTCCAGCTATGTGCCAGCTGCCCCACTACAGAGAAGATCCAAAGGAGAATGGAGAAATTATATTCCCATATTGCATTAACAGGGAATTTTAGGGAGGCCAGATTATGCAAATCCAGAGCGGAATTTAACAAGCACACCTGGGTTCACAATCCTACTTTTACAAGCAGTGCCATGGGATTTTCATAACCAAGTAGTCAGGACCTTCGTTTATCATCTCATCTAAAGGACAAGTCCTCCTATAGCCGAGTGTCCCCAGTCCTTACATAATTATGTTGGGAGACTGGTTTACAAATGCTGGTCTAAACAGACCAGTAGGTGGCACCAGCAACACATACAGCAAGCAGCAACCTGGCTTTCCCTGTCTCAGGACCGCCAAGCCCAGGCCTGTTTTTGAAAGGAATTGTATCTGGAATGACATGTTAAGCATACATTTAAAGGGAAAGAATAAAGTAACTAGATAAAATTGAGGTTTGTTGAAGCAAAAATCAGTTGACACTGCAGTCTTCCAGGAACAGTCTGAGAACCCTGCTTTAAGTGTTGTTGAGGTCTAAAAGACCTTTCAGTACTAAATGTAGAAAATCAAAATGTGTGGTTATCAATCATTACTCCAGAAAGAGTAAAATGACTTCTTAACAGTAATGGACTTACCCCTACATCTGGTTTGTAGATGACATTTGTTCCCTCCAGTGCAATTGTTCGTAGATTTAAATGGCACCTTGTTCTAAAAACAGACACGACATTTGTAATAATAATGTCCAATGCAACATCATTGTCTGGTTCCATTTGGAAAGGTGATTGTCAGCTCTTCAAAGATGCATAACAGGGTTTAAAATGGTGGCCTGTAAAAGAAATAAAACACATATATGTTCTTATTCTCACTATAATCAGTTAGAAGTCCACATTTAGTCATAAGAATAAATCATACAACCTAGATCTCAGGATTACTGCAGTACAGTTCCAGACACTGCATAGGCCTGTACACTAAATTTGTCTCATTGCCATTACAGAAAGCCAGAGCACTACATAAATTATTTTGTCCCCTATGTCAGTCTATTAGGCGACAAGAAGATAACATATGCAAGTCATTTTGCATTATCCCAAAAGGTAGAGGAATGATCTGTGAAAATTAGACGTCCAACTGGACTTCTTTCTGCTTAAACCGCTGGAACTCGATGATGATTATGATGATAAAGGCTGCGACCTCTCACTGGTATGGCAAAAGCTGCGTTTGTACCAAGCGGCAAGCAATACAGTGGAGTTTATAGCTAAGGCTCTTGCTTTCTTTGATAGCAAATGGCATATTTTTGTGGATTTCTGCACTACCAAGCATTTGTCGTTATACTCATCTCACCGCACCTACTGAAATAGAATTTGTAAAAATTCATGCTCGTCTGACACGAAGCCCGCACCTGGCAACCCACTTACGTTACTTCATATTATACAACACCGCCGTATCCTTAATTATCTCTGTCCTTAAACACATTGAGGCGGTGTTCTAAACCGATAGATACTCAAATAGGGAATACAACAAATACAATTTCTATTGAAAGTGATCTTGTGGAAGTTATTCAATTCTATCTGTATCATTAGACAGCACATCTAGAAACAAACAGTCTACTTCCTGGTATGCCACTGATGTAATGTGCCCGATATAATCTATTGAACAGAGGAGACGAGATTAATCTCCAACAGCTACACACGTCAAACCTAAAGATACAATGTTATAAAAGGTAATATATTTTATACCTTTGCATCCATCTACAATGATTACAACACTCCCGACAAGTTCAGTCTCAAAAGGTGTGCAAATCTACTTGAAAAAACAATTATCATTATATTTAAAGGGGGGATAAGACAGTTTTGTAGATCAATAAACCATATAACGCCCAGTTAATCAGGCTATATACACATGATTATCAAACAAGGGGACGTTTTCTTACCTCTGAGCATTAAATTGGAACAGTACTAAGCCAGTTGCTTAGCTACATTGCATTAAAAATAAATAAATTCGTTACCGCCTTAATCTGTTTTTATATGTCTTTAATGTATACAAACCACACATGCATTTTACTAAAAGTTTAAACAAAAAAACAACAGCCAGCACCACTAACGTACAAAGACCAACGAGATCGCCTGGATAGTCAATACGTCCTGCTGAAAAGATCTGAGAGAGCCCAATGAAAATACTCGGCTCAAACTGAACTAGCGCCACGTACTGGACTCGGAGGACACTTGCATATATGATCCTGTCTGAAAACACCATACCATCATACACAAGTTTATTTGGACTAAGGCAGCAGCAAAATAAACCAGTAATGGAACGCTTTCTATAATGTTTTTTTTATTAAATTAAATACTACGTTCATTTGTAGAAAACCTGGATATCCTGGATTTATATAAGTAATTACTTATATAAGAACTTATATAAGTAATAAACACGTTACATTAATTAGGGCTATAGATCAGCATTAGCAACACTGAGGACTTAAAAGCCTCTCCTCTGGAATAGGTCCTGCACACTTGTACATGCAATAGTAAATCCACACATCATAAGTGACTGTATTGTCAGAATGTAGAAAAATTTTAGCTCATTGCCCCTTCCTACATTGCTATCAGAATTCTTTCCAGGCTGTGTAAAGAAAGAGAATTGTTCAGTCAATTCACATATAGTCTACAACTGTTAGGTTCCTTAACCACTCATCCATTGCGGAGTTATATTTATCATCTTCCATTCTGCTGCATTTGGTTCTATTTCTGCTATATCAAATTCTGTGGCAACATTTCGTATGTTAGCTCAGTCTATAATTGAATAAATATGTCTGCACTTATGTGCATGCCACCTTCAAGTGGACCAACTAAAGTGTTATTATATTTCAAAATGTTGTATTAACTTTGTTCTTGTCAACGCTAGCTATTTAATTTTATTTAGTGATAAGAAAATATCATGTGAATTTCTAAACTGAAGTGGCTTACTTATTTTAATTCAAGTGAACATACAGTGTATTACTTACACCCATCCATTGTCTAACCACTTCATCCAATTAAGGGTCGCAGAGGAGCCACAGCCTATCTCAACTAGCAATGGGCACAAGGCAGAGCACACCCTGGATTGGAGGTCAGTCCATCACAGGGTACACATAAACATAGACACAAATACATCAGGGCCACTTTTTCCAGAAGCCAATCAGTCTACCAGTATGTCTTTAGACTAAGGAAGGAAACCCATGTGAAGATGGGGAGAACATGTAGATAGCACCCTATATCCAGATTTTGAACCCAGGATCCCAGCACTGTGAGGCAGCTATGCTAGCCACTGTGTAATAAAGAAAAAATACTTGCTCAGAGGTAAAACTAATTGTAAAACAGTTGGTGTTACTGACAATCCAGCAATTCCAGTTCAATGTAGATGTTACAAAATAAAAAGAGTAAAAAATGGGCCTTAGTCTTATAGGAAGTAAATATTATTTTAAAGATGAAAATGCCATAGAATAAAAGTAATCAGGGATTCTCATTTACAACTTTGAAAGCCCTTGGTCCAGCAGGTTTTAAATCTCTTTACATCAGAAGCACAAAAAGAGCTATGAAAACTGTTTAACTGTTCCAATAAGGGCAATAAATAATTGGGTTGTTAAGAATCAAGCTGGACAACTTGCAGAGGAGGTGTCCCTAGAGACCTGAAAGTGGGCATACTGGCAAAAAAGATCCAGAAACAACATGGTGTATAAGCCAAAGGAACGTGGAGAGATGTGCAGTACGCTCAGAATAGAAAGAAAGGAAACCAATAAATGGCAGCAGAAATAAAAGTGACATCATTACATGAGTGAATCAATATTAAATAAAATAACTCTTAAGTGAGATTCTACTTTAAATGCAATGTGGGGGACAGCCTTTTCTACCTAACATTGGTGTTATATTTCCCCAATCCATCCATGTTAAAACTGATCACGTGCATCAATGTTTCATCTTCAATACTGTATAAAGACACTTAAAAGCAAGGGGACTACCATTCAGAAAGAAGAATGAATTCAAAGAAATATTGAACTTAATCCCAAGAGATAAAAAAGACCAAAGAAAGAAGAAGTCAGTGTTATCAGTGGCAAGATGGATAAGGATTGCCAAAGACAGAAATTCGTGGCAGAATCGTTGGTAGTCATTTATCCAGCAGTGTATGTGTAGAGACTCATGATGACATATGCATATGCAATTGTGTGTCTTGTACACTTTTAAAGTAATAAAGTAGGGGATATAATGTATAAGGTTATTATGATGTTTCTTAAAAATCATGGCCAAATAATATGAGTGATGGCTTTCAGTCTTCCTAAGAGATTTGTGGTTGAACTCCATTTTTCCAGACATTTACTGGTCTCACACACATTCTCTGTATGCTGATGTACACCTATTAAAGTTTACAATAAGGTCAGTAGTTATTAATTATCTCCGATGTCACAATGACAGTGGTTCAGATAAACAAATTAATTCCACATACTGTAGAAGCATCTGGCTCTTCTTTACATTGTTTGTGGTTCCTGGATTAGTGACAGTGGAATCCAAGTAGCACATACAGCATTTTAAGTGGTAATAGTGCTGAGAGTTTACAGCTGTTTGATTTGTCAACAAACATGCACTGGCTTTCGCTTAGTTTTGCCTGTACATACTGTATGAACTTTCTGATGCTAGAAGAGCACATTTAATACTAAGCTAAGATCACTTTAATGGCCATATACAATTTCTTATATCAGGAATTTGTCTTTTTCGCATACCCCAACTTGATCTCCATGAGACACACAGACAGTGAGAGATGCTTGGGGTCAGAGCGCAGGGTCAGCCATTTATACGGCACTCCTGGAGCAGTTGGGGTTAAGGGCCTTGCTTAGAGGCCCAAAGGAGTAGGATTCCTCTGCTGGCCACGGGATACAAACCGTCAACCTTCCAGCCACAGGCGCAGATCCTTAGCCACAGAGCCACCTCACCGCCCAAGAACATATTGTAGGAACATAAGACCGGTTACATACAAGTGGAGGCCATTTTGCCCATTTGGCATGACATTGGGTTCATCAACATGGCTTGACAGCCTGTTCTATAAAACCATAACTCTTTTGAGTAAAGAAGTACTTCATTTTCTTTGTTGTAAATACATTTCCACATAGAGTCTAGTTTGTGTTTCACTATTAATTTCAAAGAAGTTCACTGCACCCTGTGACATTCACTTTGTCAAAGCCTTTGAGAATTTTGAATACTCAGACCACGTTCCTTTACAGTCTTTTCTGTTCAAACTAAAAAAATCACTCAATTCAACCACAGTCCTCAGTTACTCCTCTCTGGACTGATTCTAGAGCAGCATTATAATTTCTATAAGGTGGTGACCAACATTATATACAGTATTTTAAATGATGCCTATGTAATGCATTGGATAATTTTAAGATATCATCTCTTGATTTTATTTCTACACTTAGACTATAGAGCTTTTTTATTGCTTCCCCATGTTTTCTAGAATATGTACACAATGTGTCAACATAAACACCCAAGCCTTTTTGTAAGTAGCCTCTTCTACTGTAGCACCTCTTATGTTTTCCATGTTATATTTGTAGCTTATGTTTATAGACATGCAGTTGTCTAGTCTTGGATGCTGCCTAAATCTTTTGGAATTTCACCTGCTGCCTTCACAGTGTTACATAATCCTCCTAATTTGGTATAATTTGCAAAATTGATCAGTTTACTAACTATACCACAATCAAGATTTAAATGAGTAAAAGCATTCATTACACTAATAACATGACCTAATCTTAGCATTCACTCTTTAGCTTTATCAGATGATTTCCCTTTAAAGTTTATAGTTTTCTTTTTGCAGAATATTCTTAAACCTTTGCTTGCTATGTTTGATAATTTCTGAAGTTACACAGCAATGTCTTTTTTCTATCTTTAGAGACAAAACTAGAATGATTGATTTGATCAAGAAATGTTATAAAAGATCTCTAGGTGTAAAATGTATGGTCTAAAAACCATACATTACCAGTAATTGTTATTTACATTTTTATTTCAGTGCTGATTTAATAGATTAATATCTTAATATCAATACAACAGCAGACAATAATGGTCATGATGCTGGTCACTGTGCTTATACTGGCTTAAGCAAATTGATGCAGGGAGCGCGCAATGGTGATATTAACATCACTATAACAGCACCAAACCTACTTAGAAATACTGCAAAAGTTAAGGAACCTCAGTACAGCTTCCTCAATGTGACTGACAGTCAAAACTGCAAAACAGAACAAAAAAATGAGTGAGAACGAAACACAAGCAAATGTAGGAGTGAGAATGTTTTCAAAGTCTTTGTATTCTTGTGGTTCGGGGGGGGGGGATTTTTCAAAGAATGTCGTGATCAGTTTCTAAGATCCTCAAGGGTCTTCATGACCACTTGCTGCTTGTAAGGTTGCAGATTTTCTTCGTTTTACTAAGGTGTTTATATCAGATATAAGGCATGGCAACCTCCATAGTATATGTAGTCAATGATGATTTAAAATAATCAAGTGAAAGAACCTTGAAACTGCTTTTAGTCTTGCAATGGGGCAGACTGAAAGACCAATGGTTCTCATGCACAGTCTTCAGGTATCACACTGGTGCAGTAACTACTGTTGGTTCATACCACATGTCTGAGCTAGTCAGAATGAACTGTATTTTGCTACTTCTTTGAAACCCTGCGATTTCAAAATTTTAGCCATGTTTTAATTGTTCTCAGAAAGAAAATGAGCGATCTAGTGCATGTTAACTCTCCTCCACACAGGGTCAGTGGAACCTAATTTGCACAAGGTGGGGAGGGGTCTTTTTTAAACTCCCCCTGTAAAACTAATACTGGAGTGGTTGTTTTATTTTGTATGGAACATCAATACAATCTTATGACCAGTTTGCATTTCAAGAAATCTATGTGTAATGATCCAAGAGGGTCTTACTTGACGTTGATAGAAAAGTTATATTTAGTATCTTAGGATAAATTACAATATGTAGAAAGTTTTGCAAGTGTCATTACACTTTTAGCACTATCCACTTACATATGATATAAAGCCATTTAAACATTCTTGCTTTGATATGGCCCAACACAAATATTAAAATAATTTATTGGGAAGTACTTCTAAAAATTATAAAACTGAAACACTGTTCATGAT